GCCAAAAGCTTCTTCTGCGGCCCATTTAGCGATATCTACTATGTTTTCGTACAGCTCTTCTATCGTTGACATTTTTGTAGAATTAATCAGTTTTTTATTAAATATTTATTGATATGGTCTACGTATAATCTCATTAGTACAACTAAATAAGTTATAATTTGCTTTCGAAAAAATTTCTTTCTGTTAGGGTCGTCTATCTCTTTGCCTTTGTGTTGCTTTGTGTCTAAATTTTGAACTTTTACATTATAGTGTTATATGGGAAAGTATTTAGTATTTACTTACATATTTTACATTTAATTTTTTTTACTGTATTATAATATGATCTTATTTAATGATATATTCTAACTACTTATTTACTTTAAAATCTTAGAGTATATTATTTTTCTTCTATTTAGTAAATATTCAGTAAATTATCATTGTTAAACTGGCTAAACACATGATAATCTGTTTTTAACCCGGTATCTGGCAACACCAAAAATAGATGTCGAAAAATTATTTTATTGTATACATAATCTCATATAACACTCAATAACACCCTGAGGTACAAAAAACCGAAAGGAGACAGGGGAAAGTGGTTTTTGAATCCGTTGCCTAGAAGCAACATTGCCAGTCAAGAAACACTATTTGGTACTAACTTCACTAATGAAGAACTCAAAATTTTGTTAATCATAAATAAAGAACTGTTTAACTAAAGGACATTTTATATATTTAATAAAAAAATTAACTTATAATAGAGTGCCTAATACCTACTAAAAAATTATAAATATAGGCCTAATTCTAACGGTGGAATGATAAAAAACAATTTTTGTTCGGTGTAAAACAAAGCCGCATGTTACATTTTTCACACTGCACAGTTGTATAGCCAGTTTTACAAAATCTGCATCTTCCTTTAGCGGTATAAAGTGGCCAGTGACCTAACGCATCTCTTCTGGTAGCATCATCAGGTCTTACAGTAAGAGGATGGCGAATAATGTTATCTGTATTTTTCATACTTGATGGACGGCCTCGCTTTACTTTGTGCTTTCCAGTATTGGACAACGACCTAGCTAGTTCCATTCTAAACTTCTTGAGAGGCATAAAATTTATATTATTGGCTTTACTGTCATTTTGATGTAATATCCATGCATTTATAATACAGACATCTAAGATCCAGGTAACTATTGGAAAATACTATCTTTTACTACGACTTGGACTTCTGTAGAGACCCAATAAAGAGTAAGCTTTATCCACTCCACCCATGTGTTTATTATATTGAGTGATTAGATTTGGGCATGGCACATTTACTTTTCTTTTATGTTCTTTAGAATACCTTTGTACGTGATTGACTGGCTCAATCCCACAACCAGTACTAGCCAGAAGTACACATTTGTTATCTGCCCATTTTACAACTATAATATTCTTTTGTTCATCGCATTTATAAACATAGGAATCACTGCCACGTTTTAGCAAAACCTTATCAGTATCCAAGATGCAACCTGCTATTCTATTTGAGCGAATAGTGCCCAAGCTAAGAATATTATACTTCTTCAAGTAATGAAATAATCTCAAACTGGAAAACCAATTGTCACAAAAAATCATTGAATTCTGGGGGGCCTCTAATGTTTTACATAGTGCAATCACTGAAGCTGCACCGACACCCAAGAATTGTTCTTCTTCAGAAATCTGATTGATAGTTCCCTGTAGTTGTGAAAACGTCGAAGCTCTTGGTAAGGAATGAAATCGGCAATATATCCTGAAACACCTGCCCTTACAAAGAACTTGTAACCCCATTTATGAGGCTTATTTTGTATGTATTGTCGTAAATTGCCACCGTATGTACCTTTGTAGGCAACCATAGCCTCATCTATAGAATATTGGTTTTCGAACTGATACTTATAACAATTTGTAGAAATATGATCTAAAAGGGGACGAATTTTGAAATAGCGGTCTTTCGTTTCTGAAGTTGCTTCTAAATTATCATTGAAATGGATCATTGTTCTCAGTTTTTGAAATTTTTTTAGGGACATAACATCAGCAACAAGAGGAATTCTTGAAGAAGTGGCCCAATAATCTTCTATTGCTGGCAGCTGTATTACCCCCATAAAAATCAAAATGGAGAAAAAGTCTGTTATTTCGGAAGTATTTGTGTTGACACTTACCCCAGTTTTTTGCGTACTGTATAAATTCGTCTGGTATACAATATTCTCTATTAGATTTAGTGAAAAAAACCTCGTAAAATACTCAAGCGGCAAGGCAACCTCTACTGCATTATTGTCTATAGTTGGGTTTTCGAACGGAATGGTTTCTATGTCACTTTCAGACCAGTTATAATATACTGACTCCACTACTTTTTTACGTTTTCTTGGTGGTTCTTCATGCTCGTCTTCTTCATTCGTTTGATTAGCCTCCTCTTCAGTTAGCAGTTGATGATAATGAGGTTCATCATTTTCATCTGATTCTACGGTAATTTCATTTACATTGATGTTTTCAATTTCTTCATCATACTCCTCCGTGTCAGACAAATCAGAGAAATTAGGGTTGACAAGAACAATACACGACATTTTCGTCTTTTTTCCATAAAAGGATGTAGTTAATATTTCATTTAAATTTTCCATAGTGAAATCTTATACTGAAAAAAAAACTCAATTACTCAACTGATAATGTTGCTTGAGAGCCACATGATTTTTATTCAACAAAATAATATGATTACTTACCGTATACAGCAAGAAATAACAGAGAATTACACTCAAACAACCTTTGTTTATATACCAAGTAAAAATCCAACCTCAGAATACTCCTAACAAACGTTTGGTAATAAAAGTTATGACACACCCACATACACGTAGATCTCTACTGGTATCCTCTGTAGTAAAATTATTTTTTTTCAAATATCTCTAGTGAATGTTAGATGTCGCCACAAGTTTTATATAACTAACACGACTTGTTGCTTACAATTATCATTGTCAGATAACGGATATATATAGTAGAAATTGATTTAGGGGCTTATAAAAACGATGTTGCCTGAGAGCAACAAAACCAGATACCGGGTTAAGTTCAAAGAAATTCACTTGAAAAGCTGGTTTTGTACCTACAAGAGATGGAGAAATGGCATTCAGATTAGTGAAAGAATTACATGTTAAAACTACTTTCAACAAGGAAAAAAACTTGCAGGTTTTGACTGGTTACAATCATTCTTAAGAAGAAACCCTGACTTGAGTATAAAAAAATCGGAAGGCGTATCCTTAGCAAGAAGTCAAGGTATCAACAAAAAGGATGTAAGCGATTACTTTGATCTGTTAGAACAAATTATTCTAGAAAATGAGTTGATGGAGAATCCCGGAAGTTTATTTAACATAGATGAAACAGGACTCCAACTGAATAATAAACCTGCATTTGTTGTAGCCCAAAAGGGATCTAAAATGTAGCATCAGTAACTTCTTCGGAGAAGGGGGAAATAATTACATGTATCACCTGTTGCAATGCTTAGGGTAACTTCCTTCTCCCGACCTGCATATTCAAAGGCAAAAATAAAAAGCAAGAATTCGAAGACGGCATGCCCTCAGAATCAAAGGTTTACATGAATGAAAAGTCCACTTGCATAAACACAGATATATTTATTGATTGGTTAATATATCACTTTGTTCCTAGAAAGTCCCTAGGAACAGTCCTACTGGTTTTGGATGGTCATGCATGTCATTGCAACTCCATCTAAATGTTGGAGTATGCAGACGAAAATGAGATCATTCGACTCTGTTTACCGAGCCAGTCTACATAGTTTTTGCAACCATTTGATCGTTCATTCTTTAAGTCGCTAAAGTCACATTATTACAATGCTTGCAATTCATTTGTAAAAATGAATCCTACAAAGATGATTAATCGCTTGCAGTTCGGCAAATTATTAAATGAGGCTTGGACAAAAGCTGCCTCAGTACAAAATGCCGTATCTGGTTTTCGCGCATGTGGTATTTATCCAGTCGACCGGAATGCAATTCAAGAGTATGCCTTTCTTGAGAGTACAACAACACAAATTACTGAAATAGATGATCTCCAACATCTAAACCTACCATCTACAAGCAGTTCGACCCCGTCACACACGTCACCATCTCACACGTCACCATTAGAACTACCATCTATACCTGGTACTAAGCCGACCTATAAAGAAAAAATCACTCCTGGTAAAATTTGAGATAATATTTCTCCAATACCTTCTACATCAGGTATTTCACAAGTAAGGAAACGCGGTAGATAATTTACTGCAGTACTTACTAGACCAGTGAATTTGGCGATACGCAAAGATTTAGATGTTAAAAATAAAGAAAAGGATGCTAAAAAGAATAAAGGGCCTCTGGAAAAAAAGTCAAGAAACTCAAGAACCAAAAGAAGATGTTTTGTTAGTCATCTTTTTCCGATGACTCTGACGATCATGTGGAAATGACTAAGGACTCTAGTGATGATCTACAAGATGAAACAAATTGTGAATGTGTCGGCTGTGGGGAAATATATTCAACCACATCAAAACAAGAAGACTGGGTACAGTGCGCGCATTGCAATTCTTGGTTTCATGAAAACTGTTCAAAATATGTTAATTTATGTGATATATGTGGAAGAGTATTGTCAAAAAACGTGCCAAATAAAGTTTATGATCGAGCCATATCAGCCTTAGTGTCCGAGTCGTCTCACCTCGACGCATCTGGTGAGTTCGCCTTTTACAATTTTTTGTATTTTGATGTTTACTGTTTTTGTATGTAAGTATTTGGCTTAACCAACTCTGTACACTTTCTTCTAATGGTATTTTATTATAAATATATAGGCCATAACAGTCCTTAAACTAGGTTTCATGGAATAGAAGAAGAAGAGGAAGACCAAGATCAGAAGTTAGACAAGGAATCAGACAAATAATGAGAGATAGAGCCATAAATGAGGATGAATGGACCGATCGAAAGAGGTGGAGATCGAAATATGGGATGCAACAGAGGCTGCAGGCTCTAAACTAAAAAAAGAAATAACAAACAATGTTAAGATTTTTATTAATGGTTTGAACTAGAAAAATATTAGAACAGTGTATTTTGTCCAGATAGAATATATTTTCCTCTGGAGATCGTTTTAGTTCCTCCCGGGCGTTCGTAAAAGCAAAAATGATTATAGAAATACTGCTTTCGAAATTTACCCTTAGAATTATACTTCCATTGTAAAATATGTTCTTGATTTAATAAAGTATTTCCTGTTAAACCTAAGTCCCTTTCTGTAAGAATACCCTTTTGATTTGTTGCTACATTTCTTAATGAATCTGAAGCTGAACTATTCACTTTTGAAGATGGTCTCGCATTCTGATAGACAAATCCAATCTCAGCACAAGGTAAATAGAATTTGGTGTTTAGCGTTAAAAAGTCATAAGGAATGTGAGCGTGAGCATCTGCCTTTTCAAAATACCTAACCAGGTTACTTCTTATCATTTCTATGTACTCTTGTCTAGATGAGACACCTGCAAAATGAGACTATATAAAGATAGGTTCATGTTAAAAATTCTTAATATCGAAAAAATTGAAGAAAGAAGATGATTCAATAGTGCCGGAACCTAATTATATATTATATTATATAATTATTATAATATAGATCCAAAATGAATAAGATCAGGTGGAAGCTATCGTGCTAAAAACTGAATGGTCGTATGGCCGTGGCCGCTAACGATGCTCTTGGGACACTGGGCGAAATCCCATTGAATATCAACCTTGTTGCTGTACGCGAAGCTTTACAGGAATCGGCCAACGGTCTTCAGCTACTCGTGTGAATAAATATGAATAATGATCAACATGCAAGGCAAGCTTCTTCTTCTTCTTCTTCTACTTTTTTAGATCTTTCGATCTGTTTAATTCTGAAGCTGCCTCTGGTTAATTTCTTGGGAGGTAGATTGCCAACTATCCCTCCATCTTTTAGGTGGTCTTCCGGGGGGTCTTGAACCGGGCGGATTGTTTTCTAGGGCAATTTTTGGGAGTCTATTTTCATCCATTCGTCTTACATGGTTGTACCACATCCTCTTGCGCTGCCTTCCCCATCTTACAATATCTTGAATTTTGCACTGCTCTCTAATGTTTGTATTTCTCGCTCTGTCTCTTCTTGTTTTCCCCATTATTGTTCTTATGGTTTTCATTTCGGCAACCCTTAGCATCTGTTTCGTTTTGTTAGTATCTTCGCGCACTTCTATGCCATATGTCATGATCGGTCGTATGCAAGTCTTATAGATTCTAATTTTACTATCTGTGCGCATATACGGATTTGACCAGACTATCTCCCGCAGACATCCTGACAGTGCAGATGCTTTGTTGATCTGACTCCTCAGGTCCTTTACTGGGTCGTGGGTGCTTGATATATCTATGCCCAGATATCTGAATTGCATCACCTGTTCTATGGGGTTGTCCTCAACCAATAACTTACATCTGAGCGGATCTTTTGCTATTGTCATACATTTAGTTTTGTTGGTAGAGATGTTTATATTTAGTAGTCGGCTTGTTTGAAAGAACTGAAAGAGCTGCCTTTGGAGATCATCTTCTGATTCGGCAATAATTGCTGCATCGTCTGCGTAACACACCATACCAATTCTTTTGTTGCCCATTCTATATCCGAGATTAAGAGATGTTACTTTGTTGATAATTTTGCCCATGAGAAGATTAAACAAGAAGGGGCTTAAACTGTCGCCTTGTCTAATTCCTCCCGGTGTTGGAATATTTTCAGTGAATTCGTCTCCTGCTCTAACTTTGGTTACGTTGTTGTTATTTAGTTTATGGAGTATCTTTGTTATACTGGTCGGTGTTTCATTTTCTATTAATATATTTAGAATGTCTCCCAGGCGAACTCTGTCAAATTCCTTCGTCAAATCAATGAAGCAAATATACGCTGGCATGCCGAACTCTATAGCTTTTTCTTTTATTTGTTTTATTATAAATACTGCGTCTGTTATAGACCGCCCTTTTGTAAAACCTTGTTGTTCTTCAGCATTAGTGATTTGCTTTTCCAATTTGTCCTTAAGAATACCAGTGAAAAGTTTCATTGTTGTATTTAAATAGTTTTGTGGGCAGGTTTTTTGTCCTTTTTTAAATATGGGGATTGTGATACTATTATGCCATTCCTCTGGTGTTTCTGTTTTGTTTAATATTTTGTTAAATAGTTGTGCCAGTTTACTTGCAACTTTGGGGCCTCCATATTTTAAAAGTTCATTGGGTATACCATCCGTTCCCGGTGATTTTCTGTTTTTTAGTTTTTTGATCTTTGCTTCTACTTCTTCGTCATTGATTGTAGCACTCACATCTGTTTCGCCTTCGTTTATATTCAGCGTTTCTTCAGCATCATATAGCTCTTTAAAATGCTGTTGACATGTCTCTATAGGTACTCCTTTGGTCTGCACGAACTCGTTAACTGGTTTTTTTCCTGTTGCGGAGCATTTTCCATACTTTCTTTTGGGCACCATATAGGTCGTAGTCCATGTCGCAAGTGAATTTGGCCCAATGTTCTCTTTTGATTGATTTTATTCTGGCGTTTACTTCGTTTCTTATTTGGACATATTCTGCATGAGCTTCTTCCGATTGCGTGTCTTTATATCTCAGGTAGCATTTGCGTTTTAATTCAGAGAGTTCTTTTACCTCTTGGCAAAACCACGGTTTGGTGTGGTTTGTCGCTCTCGTGTTAATTTTCCGCTTTCCAATCGCTTCTTCTGCTGCTTCGTTGATGTATTTCTTAATTTTTTGCCAAGTATCTTCTACTCCCCATTCGGGTTTTAAGTCGATCTCTTTTAGTTTGCTGGTAATCCTGTTCTCATAAAGCAGTTTTGTACTCTCTGTTGCTAGCGACTCTATATTATGTTTTTCGATGAACATTGGGGGTTTTCTGTTTCGTTGCGGACGTTCTAGTAGCATCTTGCATAAAACAAGGTTATGATCAGTCCCCAGGTTAGCAGATGTTAGTGCTCTGACATCAAGTACTTGTGACGGAGTTATCGGTCGATTTGTGATTATAAAATCTATCATTGATCGCTGGCCTCGATTATTGTTAAAAGTGTATTTATGTTGGTCTTTATGAAGAAAGTAAGGCAAGCACGGTATTTAAATTCCAAAAACCGATCACTGTAAACCAACCCTACTCAAATTGCGTCAAAAAATAAACCTCAACATCGCCACATTTAATGCTCAGTCACTTTCTACCGAGAAAAGAAATGAAGGAAGAACTCTCAAAAGTGAATTGGAATATTGTGGGTATCAATGAAGTAAGTAATCGACAGTCCGAGGCGTCGGTTTCTTTATTCACAAAAGAATTGCCAACAAAATTCTGTCAATAAATTAAATCTCAACAAGGGTGGTCTACTTAAACATCAAAATAAGCGCAAAATATATCCTTAAGATCGTTTATATGTATGTCCCTATAATGAAGAAGACTAATGGGCGATGGATAAACAGTTTATTGGAATGGAGACCAAGCAAAGACAAGAGAAACGTCGGTCGACTCCTACACGATGGACTGACGATTAAGAAAGACTAAAATAAAATCTGAATGAGAGTGGCGCAAGATAGAAGGGGTTGGAAACACGAGGAAGAGGCCTACGTTTAGCAGTGAACTTTTGAGGCTTGATGATGATGACAGATATGAAAACATGAAGATGATACAGTGTGCGATTAGTATAGGCAAATGAAGAGGAAAATCGAAAGAAAATATCATTCCTAAAGTAAGGCATCTGTATTTGACTGAATAACTGTATAAATTTTAAAACAACTACCTAATATGTTTAATCAAATCGACTAATACAATAAACGCTGCTTTACGTTTAAAGAGAGTGTCTAGGCTTTGAAAATATGCGGAAATAACATTGATACCAAAGTATACAGATATGAAGTGGTTGTAGATTGAACAGGACTTCCAAAGCCGCTATAGAAGTTTTTATAGCCTCCTTAATACACAGGCATGCTAGCCTTTGTTTACTACTTAGATGCCTTATTGCTCTTACTTGTTGCGTCTTTGTCCACCACGTAACAGACTCATTAGTCAAATAACCCTTGTTTATAACCATAGGGTCATTTTAAAGTTAAGCCCCCAATTCCCACCGCACAGTCTTGTACATCTGCCCAAGGGCATAGTAACTTTCTGTGTGGTTTTTAGTATGTGAGTATACCTAATAAGACTATGATCAAAGTATACCCCTAGCTATGCTGTTTCTTTGGCAAATGAAATCTCTGTTCCTCCTAGCACCGGTGGTTTTAGGCTTTGTAATGCTGCTTTTTTTGTGAAGTTGACAATTTGTGTTTTTTGAGCATTGACTATTACCAGAGACCTATAGAAAGAAGACTTTTAGGAATAACTTTAAGATATAGAACTAATAAATGGATTAGGCAACAGACAAAACTCAAAGACATAGTACAAAGAAGATGTTCCTCAAAATGGAACTGGGCTGGACATTGTGGCTAGAAATCAAAAAAATCTGGAGTGGAAATATGACTAAATCGAAATCATGAAAAAAAAGCGTATGAAGATTGCAACAAACATGGTACGACAAGTTAAAAAGACCAGAGGGACTAAATTGATACAGAATAGAGAAAACTGCAGAGAGGTCTATGTCGAATAGATAGAGAACGGATGAAGAAGAATAAGATGGGTTTTTAAAATAATAATAATTACCTTTGTAACCTGAATTAACCTCAATAACAGATTTGAGATTATTATTTTTTACTTTAATCGTTTCTGACAATTTATCAACATGTGTAAGTATGGATCTTGCCTTTAATATCTTTGAAGTATTAATTTCCTTTTCTAGATTACCAATCGATTCAAGACTATTTATGAACGTTGGATTTTGCACATCATTTTTGTAATCATTGGGTTTCTTCTCAATTTTTAAAGTAGCAACTGGAGAATTTAAGAAACAAATCGACTTAGAAACATTTGGAGTCTTGCATAATTCTCGTTCTTTGGAATTTGCATATTTTCCAAAGGATGAAAGTGATTTTTGTTTTTCTAAAGTATTTGGTATATTTTTAGGAGCAGGATCGAAGAATTCGTAAATTATTTTTTTGTTAGTTGAGTTAGTGAAAAGACAATTAAGATAACTATTTTCTTCGTAATGAAGAATCTGTTTTCTTCCTAAAGAATAATCTTCCCAACGAAGCTCTTCGAAAGATTTACTTTTGTATTCCTTCATAAAGGTTATAGAATGGATAAAAACATTACAATTTAATTCACCATAATAATCAATACCGTTCGTTACACGAAACACAATGGGAGTACCTAGAATATCTTTCCTGTAAACTGGTCTTAAGGGAGGAAAATTCTCCAGGTAAAAATCCTCTATGACCACAAATTTTGAAGCATCGTCTTCCAGAGAATCTTTTTTGGGAACTGTGATTATTATTCCAGATTTTCGTTTCTTTCTTGAAATATTTTCAACTCTTTTAATTGTTAGGGACATTGTGAATTTTAAAATGAACAAAAACTATATTTTTTATTTATGAGCTAAAATTTTGTTTGTCAATTTTGACAGAAATATTTTTAAAATTGTTTTGTGTCTTCTTCTAACATCTTAAGTTTCCTTGCCATGTAAAATGTATCTTGTACAGCAACAACGCATATGTTTAAATAATCACATAAAGCAAAACTTTTGACATAATGAGCACTAAAGTGGTGGTTGAACAATTTGTAAAACTCATAAGATTTGATCTGCTTCATACTGCTTCCCAAAAAAGCCAATGCAAAAGAGTGCAATGAACTTAAAAGTAATTCAAAATAGAATATATAAGAAATTAGATGAAGGTATAAGAGATGCACTGTTTGCAGTAAGTGTTCTTTCGCAGAGATGCTTAGATATAAATCAGGAAGTATATGCCTGTTTCATTGATTTTGCGAAGGCATTTGACAGAGTGCAGCATAATCGGTTTAAAGAAATTTTATTAAATAAAAACATCGACACTAGAGACATTATAATCATATGTCCCCTCTATTGGAACCAAACAGCAAAAGTGAAAGTTGAAAATGAACTGACCGAGGATATCCAGATTCGCCGTGGGGCCCGCCAAGGGTGTATTTTATCACCCTTGTTATTCAATTTATACAGTGAAGCCATCTCAGAATTAGCGCTTGCCGAGGTCAGTGAAGGCCTTATAATAAACGATGAGAAACTTAATAACATAAGATATGCTGACGACACCATCCTTCTGGCAGAAACACTAGAAGAACTGCAACACTTTACTGAACAACTAAATATATACTGCAACGATTATGGACTTAAAAAAAAATTGAAGAAAACCAAGTTCATGGTATTTACAAAAACACAAAACATCAAAGTTAAGCTAGTACTAGATAATACAGAAATTAAACAAATATCTTCGTACAAATACCTTGGAGCATGGATCACAGAAGATACTGATCAGACACAAGAAATAAGATGCCGCATTCAAATTGCACGGTCAACCTTTAATAGAATGAGAAAACTTTTTGTAATCGCGATATCAATATATAGCTCCGGATAAGAATGCTTCGATGTTATATTTTCTCTATCCTTTTGTATTGGGTTCAAGCTTGGACACTTAAAAAATCCAACAATAAAATCCTTAGAAGCATTCGAAATGTGGTGTTATTGACGTATTCTGAAAATGTCATGGATGGGTCACAAAACAAACGAACAAGTTCTCGAACAACTAGGAAACCAATGCGAAGTTTTAAATTCCATAAAAATCAGGAAATAGGAATACTTGGGGCACATCATGAGAGGTGAAAAATACGAACTACTAAGAAATATAATGCATGGTAAAATCAAAGGCAGAAGAAGCGTAGGAAGACATAAAATCTCGTGGCTACGCAATCTCCGTGAATGGTTTGGATGCAGTTCAATTGAATTATTTAGGCGCGTAACCAACAAAATTATAAGTGCCAGAATGATTTCCAATCTCCAATAGGAGCGGAACTTGAAAAAGAAGAAGATTAGATCAAGTCCCATTCAGAAAAAAAGGGACTAAGAAATAGGAAGAACAGATTACATCAAAAAGAAGAATCTCTCTCTTCAATCCTGACCCCCCGAATGGAGGGTAATAGTCATTGTGATGTCGTGTTTTGTTCATTTCCAAAGATCTGTCCCGGTTATTTCTTTTAACTCATGCATAGGTCTTTTGGATATTCCTGTAATTTGATCGATCAATCTTGTTGGACCCATACTTGTCTTTGACGACTTTGAAAAAGCATTTGATACGGTCAATCAAAGTGAAATGCCCCAAGCTCAACACAATTTAGAATATATCACCGATACATATCTCTCATCAGATACATCTATCAATATGCTACTTGTAAAACAATAGATTGGAACGAAAAGGGCATCAATGTAGACGGAAAATTTTTAAATAACCTTAAATTTGCAGATGATATCGTTCTTATTGTAGACAGCTTGATCAAGCACAGCTAACGCTCCAAGAACTCCATAGTGCCACAAAAAGAGTTGGTCTTAAAATAATTTTTTCAAAACCACAATTTATGACAAATTTAGTCCACAACAAAAACATATCAGTAGAAGACAAAGATATTGAGCCAGTTGACTCCTATAAATACTTGGGCCATGAAATCAAAATAAGTCGAGACAACCAAACAATCGAACTGAAAAGAAGAATAAACCTCGCTTGGACTGCATTTGGAAAGATGAAGGATATTTCTAGGTCTAAGATTCCAATGTGTCTGAAAAGAAAAGTATTTAATCAGTGTATTTTGCCAGTGATAATCTACGACGCAGAAACCCTAACACTCACAAGAACAACAGTGAGTAAACTACAAGTTGCGGAAAGTGCAATGGAGAGAATAATGTTAGGGATTTCTTTACGTGATAGAATACGTAATGCTAATACGCAAAAGGTCAGGAGTAGCAGACGTTATTAAAAGGATATCAACACTAAAGTGGAACTGGGCAGGTCATGTAGCTAGATCAGTTGATGACCGGTGGACAAAAAGAATTTTGGAATGGAGACCCCGAATACAAGCTTACAGAAATAGAGGTCGACCCCCAACGAGATGGACAGATGACATAAAAAGAATGACTACAAATTGGATTCAGATGGTGCAAAATCGGACTAAGTGAAAAAACATGCGAGAGGCCTATGTTTAGCAGTGGACGTTAGAGGCTAGTTGATGATGATGATGATCTTGTTGGGGATCTTCAGGAAGAAACTGTCAGAACCTTTTAGAATAAATTACGAGCTGTGCCAGGGAGACTCTCTCTCTCTCTCTCTCTCCTGTATACTGTTCAATCTGACTCTGAAAAAAGTAGTATTTATGCCACAAATCACAAACACCGGCATGATTTATTGAGCCATATGAGTCAAGTATATGACTTAATAAATAGGACAGATTTATCCGAAATAATAAGTGAATTTAAAATACCTTTCAAACTAGTTAGGCTCCTCCGAATGACGATGGCGGACACAGTGATAAAATTAAAATCAATAGCTTATTTTGATAAGAACAGATTCAGAGAAATAGAAATAAAACAGAAAATTCAATAAAATAGGAATTCTTAATTCATTCGTATGGGATAAAAATATCTCAATTAAGAATAGTGGGTAGAGCCATAATGGGCTCAGATTTGAGTTATCGATCAGAATTGAGGACTCTTATCGCAGATATTAGAAGAAGGCTTTTTCTGGTATAAATAACCTATATAAGAAGAAGCACATGAATATCAAGAATAGAAAGAAATATTGAGGAAATAAGAACCAAATGGAAACAGGAGAAACAGTGGTGAATCGAATATAAAAACGATCTTTGAAGTGGTTATCCAAAATCACACATTAAAAAGGTGTTGCAAGCACTTCATTGCAATCTTTATGGAGGATATTTTGGTGCCAAATGAACACTGGCCAGAGCTCGTGATAGATTTAACTGGATCAATTGTTGCCGAGATGTAGAAGATTGATGTAAGAAATGCGATTTATGTAACAGTAGAAAAGGACCTAGAACAAGAAGTGGTAAAATGGTACAATATCTTTCTGGGGAGACTTTTGAACGACTTTTAGTGGATATTCTCGGTCCACTTCCGATGACAGAGTAAACAAGTAATGTAATGGCTGTAACGGATTATTTTTCAAAATGGTCTGAAATTCCACATCTTCCTAATCAAGAAGCGACTAGAGTAGCAGAAGCATTTTTGTAATTTAGAGTTACATTCTGATGTAGGACGAAATTTTAAATCATAATTATGGCAAGAATAAATGAAACCTTGGGTATTAAGAACACCCCCACTACGGCTCTCCATCCTTAATTAGACGGAATGGTCGAAAGACATAATAGAACTGTTTGTCGATACTTTTCAGTGTTTGTCACTGATAATCAAAAAGAATGGGATACTTTAAATCGTCTATTCTTGTTAGCCTATAGATATTCCGAACATGAAGCACCGTCGTTATTTTTCATCGATAACGATCACCGGAAGAGAAATGAAGCTTCCTCAGGATTTTATTTTTGAAAGATTTCCTCTCTGAAAAGGAGAACGTTTATCTCTGGTGTACAACAAAAATTAAAAAAATTGAAAAAAGTCATCGAATTTGTTCGTAAAAGTTTGAAGCTTCAAAGTGATAAAGCCAACATCAGGCTCGACAAGCATGCTACTGGTACAACTTTCGAAATAGGTGACCCAGTATGTTCGTACAATCCCACACGTAAAAAAGGACTTTATCTAAACTTTAATGAAACTGGGAGGCTCGTACACCATCCTGCAGAAAATTAACGATCTAATCTATCGCATCCAGTTTTCAGTTAGAAGTAAACCCAAGATAGTGCATATCAAAAGATTAGCTCCACATCATGTAACGGATCTACCCTATTGGCTTCACCGTTCGCTGATAGACCAGTTATTCCTGTAGTCCTGTAAGATTTATTACTCATAGAAAAAGTCCCTTGATGAAAAAGAAGAAGTATTAAAATTCTAGAATATTTGACATTTCATCTAAAAAAGCCTGAACTGCCTGGTTAAGTTTGAAAAGTCAGAAAATGTATATAAACAGAGGAATTTGACAGTTTAATAATAGTAGTATTTTGAAGTTTATAGTTGTCATTGTATTAAGTATTGTAATATTAATGGTGTTAAATAAAGTTATTTTAAAGAAATTTAACAGAACTTTAGTCCAAATGTGGTTTTAGCAATGCCAAAAACACTATCGGATGAAAATCTATATCTGAACACCACATAACTATTACTGGAAAATTACAGTACTGGAATAGGAAGGTAAAGTTCTTTTACCCTATGACAGCCGATATGTAATTAGAATATGATCAGTGGGCCTCACCAGTTGGGCGTTAATATTTAATTCCGATCGCTTGAAAAGTAAAAGTATTTAATTTCCTGTATTTTATGTTCAATAATAATATTGGGTTTTTCTGTATCAAAGTCAAATAAAATGAATATAATATGTATATACAGGGCATGCTAAACGAAGTGGGATTGAATATTTCGAATACTCGAAATTATTTGTCTACATCAAATGTTCATCAA